GAGAGAGAGAGAGAGAGAATTTTTAATATTTATTTTTTAGTTTTCAGTAGACACAACATCTTTTATTTTTATGTGGTGCTGAGGATCGAACCCAATGCCCCGCGCATGCCAGGCGAGCACGCTATTACTTGAGCCACATCCCCAGCCCCAAGATTAGATTTTTTTAACCCTATAATTTTCATTGAGTTGTAGGGTGAGGATTGTTATTTCCATTTTACAGATGAGAAAATGGAGGTTTGAAAAGGAGTGACTTGTTCACAGTCTCAGGGCTGGTCAGATACAGGGTTAGAATTTGAACATCATACTGTGGTCTTCTTGTACAGTGTTCTTTTTGTGAAGGTGCTTTGAAAGTACTCAAAGAAGAGTGATATCTCACTGCAGTGTTTTGATTATGATAGGGCCATTGGGATGTTCAGCTAATCTGGTTTGGCCAAGGATGGGAGGGGTTTAGGGACAAATTACATCCCTGAGTATTGGTGTCAGTTACTTGGGCTTCACGTGAGAATGAACAGGATGTAAGGCCCTGCTTCTGAAGAGGGAGGTGTGGCTTTTAGCATTTGTTGTAGCAAGAAGCTAGGTTTTGAGTTCTTTTGATTCAGGGCCATGGCCGCTGCTAGCAGGTGTACTCAACTATTGTGAGGAAGCAGGTCCCTGTTCATGGGAAAACCCCCCAGTAGGGTGATCATGCAAAGAAGCTTAACTCCCATCTTTCCCCCTGAACAGCCTGATTTTGAGGAAGGGGCCAGTATTCTTTGGCCTGGCCTAGAAGCCAGCTTCCTTTTCCCTTGAGAAGTTTTCTTTCAAGTACAGCAAAGTCTCTTTGGCATGCCTGCTTACCAGCTTACCAGCCAATATATAGACTAGGGACCAGAAACTCAGCAAAACCTTGGGGGCAGGGGCAGAGCTCAGGCTGGACTCCTAGCTAGGCCAGGTGTCTCCTACTTCATCTTGGTATCATCCTTGTGCCAGGTATGACAATCAGCTCCACTGCTGACATGGCTGCTCTTACTGTGGAACTGGGCAGCAGGGTGGCTGCTGTCCTTCTGAGTCTCAGTCTTCTTTGAGCCAGTGGGCCTCTCTTTCCCATGCACCAGCCAGTGACCAATAGAATAATAAAAATAGCTAAAACACCATATTAAACTCTTCACATACAATATCTCATTTAGTTCTCATATCAGTCCCTTCTGATCATCCCTAATATACTCATGCTTTGTTATCCATGGGGGATTGATTCTAGGACCCCCTTTCAGATACCAAAATCCATAGATGCTCAAATCCTTTATATAAAATGATGTAATATTTGCATATAACCCATGCACATTCTCATGTGTGCTTTAAATCATCTTTGGATTACTTATAAGACCCAAAACGTTGTAACTGTTAAGCAAATACTTGTTATACTAGTACATTTAGGCAATAATGGTAGAAAAAAGTCTGTACATGTTCAGTACAGGTGCTATTATTTCAACATATTTTGACCTATGGTTGCTTGAATCCATGCATGTGGAACCTATGAATATGAAGGGCCAACTATATATACATGTGGAGGCTGAGGACTCATGAGGTGAAGTGATATCCTCACAGTCATCTAGCTAGCAAATAATAAAGCCAAGATTTGAACCCAGAGCTATTGACTTCAGACCAAGTCTACCACAGTACTATGAGGCAAGTGTGGCAGGGTGAGCTGCCAAGGAACTAGAGTTGAGGAAGTTCAGTGGCAGCTCTTCCATGACCTCCTAGAGTCTTATCTCCTTGAATTCCCCCAAGCAGGGGAAAACCCTTACCCTGGAGACAGAGGCTATCCTGGCCCCCAGCAGGAACAGCCAGAGCAAGTGGCCTAAGCAGGCTGTGGAAATCCGAGGAGGCTGGTGGTGGTGCTGGAGCAAGCAGAAGTCTGCAACTTCACCACAGGATGTCCATGTTAGCCAGGTGCTGCTTCTGCTGCTGGCCACCTGCCTTCTGGGAGGCCACATAGCCCTGCACATGGAACAACCAGACCCTCTACTGTCCTCATCCCCACTCTCAGGTCACTTCTCCCACTAGTATCAACCCTAGGAACCCGACATACACTGTGGGATAAGCTGTCTTCAGCCCCAATTCCTCTTTTGGCCCCCACTTCTGGGGCTACTTTGTCTGAGGACCTGAGAGGAAAGTGACTGTGTACAGCCACTCCTTCCTCCCTTTCATTCCTGCAAAAGTCCCAAACACTGACAGGACCTAGGAGGTTCCAGAACTGACAGGCTTTCTCATACAAGGCCCTGAGGTGGGGTAAGAGGAGAACTCTGAATCAGTTACTAAATACCAGAACAACATCGGTTGGTCATTCCCCCTCTTTAGGCCTCAGTTTCCATATTGTTCATATGGGCATATCAAATTGCCCATCTTGCTCTAATCGCCTTCAGTCTCCAAACCCAAGTAGAAAAGCTGCCACTGGAGCTTGGGTCATTGAGGCAGCCTCTCTTCCAAGAGGGCCAGCAAGTCGCAGCTTCATGCCCTCCTTTTTTCCTATATCCTCCTGTCAACTCCAGGTGAACTGCCATTCCACTCTGAGCTACTTTTTAGCCTAAAGTTTATTGTTGTGCTCTGCATCCTTGTTTGCCTGCCAGCCAGTGTATCTGCAAGCAGTAGGATAAGGAGACTCCTCAGAAACAAGCAGCTCTGGGGTGTTCCTTGGATTAAGAGGGGGAGGAGGATACTGCAGTGACACTTGCTCCTTCTGCTTTGGGGTACACTGCTCTTGGGATGCACTTCAGTCCAAGCCATACTATCTTTCCTGCTCAGTTCATCCTGTCAACCTAGACTGGCTCCTGACCTAACGAGAAAGGGGCAGTTGGTTGGGAGACATTTACAAGGAGCCCAAGCATGCCTTGCATGCAAGCCCAGGAAATGATTGCTACTTGGTGCCCCTCAAGGGACAGTGAGAAGCCATGTATGCACAGTCAGGGTGATAGGGTGATTGCAGAAGGCCAAAGTTTGGGCAGCCCATCTCCATCTTCATGTGGTCTTAGGGAAAACCTGTATTACTTGAAGACTCTTGCGCAGGCAGCTGCCAGATATTGCTGTTGTATTTAGGGAACTGAGCAGGATGTGGCCCAGCTGGTAGGGAGACAGGATTAGGTGGCAAGTTAGATGGCCTCCATTTGGGGGCTCAGCTACCTAGCCCCTACCCCAGGCCCAGGAAACTTGCCCATGCAGAAGACTTCCTACCAGCTTTGACATCTCTAATGGAAAGCTCCTGAGCCCTGTTTGGGGAAGCGTGTGCCCTCCCCTGGAACCCTCCAGACTGTGGGCTTTTTGTAAACTTAGAGGAAACTGTGCCCGCTGCCCAGGTTGCCCCCAACCTCCTGCCAGTGTTTGCATGCACCTTCTTCTCACCCCACTTAGCTCACCTGAGGAGGACCTGCCCTGGCAGAGTCCACAGAAGAAGGAAGGAGAGGGTTGCAGGAACAAGACTTGTCATTCCGTGGGGACCTTGGAGCCCTTTCTCAGCTTGGCTGCCAAGGTGAGGGGAATATCCCTGTGGGAACGCCGAAAATATAGAACCTTCCTCCAACTTGGGCTAGGAGTTGCGCTCTCTTTCCTCTTCTGCCTCTTCTCCTCTGCCCTGTCTTTATCAGTCAGGGGCCAGAACTATTCCCCTGGAAATGATCCTGACACAGATAACCCTACCGGCTCCTGCTTGGGCTCGCCTTGGGCTGCGGAGGGCCTCAGCTTGCCAGCCAGGGAACCAAAAAAGATTCTCTTTGGGCAGCAATCACCCTCTAAACCCTGGAGAGTCTTGGAGGGGAGGGAGGAGGGAGACCGGTAGAAAGATGTTTCCCTCCCTCCCACCTCCCCCTAGATGCACCCTCTGAAAGCAGCAATTTAAAGGCACAGTCACCAGCAGCTGGAGTGGGGTTCAGAGTGTGTCCCTGTGCTGGGGAGGAGCTTGGGCTGCTGCTACTGCTTGAGAAGAGCCAGAGGTGTTCTGTCCAGCCTCCAACTCTCCAGCTGGAGGAGGGCACATAAGTGGCCCTGCTGCCCCCCCACTCAACCACTTTCCTTTTAGCCTGGAGCCAAACTGGGGCTCAGCAGTAAAGTTCCAATGATTTTTGTAAAAAAGACCTCAGAAGGGTTAGGCAACAGCCACTGGGTATCCTCAAGGTAATAGCTTTAGGTCAGAAAGGAGGGAAGGAGGAGGCTAAAGGGCAGGGGCAATGCTTTTTTTCACTCTCTGGATGGAGGCACAGTGAATGGATGATAGAGGAACTTCAGAGCCCTTCTATGTAGTCTGACTGCCTGAGAGTCTGTCTGTCTGTCTGTCTGCCTGCCTGCCTGCCTGCCTGCCTGCCCATTATGCTTATAGATTTATTTTCTTTTCCCTGCCTTCCTCCATTAGGCCATCCCTGGGGGGCTTGGGGTCCTCTATGGCTCTCAGAATCCTTCCTCCTTGACAATCCTTCCCTAATGCTGCTCAAGGGAAGGGACAACTGTCCTAGGTAGGGGCAGGACAGAGCAAGGTTGGGACACTGCAGGTTTTGCAAATTTCAGGGGAATACCAGTGGGGGCAGGACACAGAGACCTAACTGCCTCTAGCACTGGATGGAGAAGAGGCGAGAGGGTGGGCTTGCCTCCTCCCTTGCCTTCTGCACATTTGCTTATTGGCATCCAGGTGCTTCAGCAGCTCCATTTTCTCCTGTCTGACCCTTGCCCAAACTTTCCTGTGTATCATCTAAACAGCTCTGGGACTTCCCCCTCCCAGTGCCTCTTCCTCCCTCCTTTTCTTTTTCTCTCTTTTTCCCCTCTCTCACTGAAGTTTTCTTTCATCTGTCCTCTCTCCATTCCAGTCTCCCTCCCTGCTTCTTCTCTGTGTCTCACCTTCTGTGTCTTTCTCTTCTTTCTCTCTCACAATTTGCTCCCTTTCTCTTTTCTCTCTAGCTCCCTTGTACCTTCAGTCTCAGATTCTTTCTTCCTAAATTATATCAGTGAGAATCCAAGACTTTTCAGTGGAAACTCAGCCACCAGGTCTGCTGGGTTTTTTTTTTTTGGGGGGGGGAGGTACTAGGGATTGAACCCAGGGGCACCTAACCACTGATCCATATCCCCAGCCCCTTTTGTATTTAAAATTTTGAGACAGGGGGTCTCATTGAGTTGCTTAGGGCCTTGCTAAATTGCTGAGGCTAGCTTTGAACTCTCAATCCTCCTGCCTCAGCCTCCCAAGCCACTGGGATTACAGACATGTACCACTGCATCCTGCAGGTCTGCTGAATTTGAGTATGTATTGGGGAAACGGTCCATGCCACTTTACATGGTTCAGTCCTAATGCTGATTGCAGCCTCCCCAACCTGGTCAGAGAGGTGTTTATGAGGATTGGAAGCTGTTCTCAGGTGGCCCATTGGCTATATAGAAGGATTAATAACAAAATATGCACGCATGGAACTTGTACAGCATCTCTCTTTGCCTGTCTTATTATTAAGGAAGAGGAATTTTGAAACCACAAGTGAAAGGGAAGAAGATAATTTTCAAGAATATATGCTGAAATATTGATGAGTGAGCTGAGCTTTTGGGATTGAAACTGAAAACATTATAAGCCTCAAATAGTGGCAATATGGTTGCAAAGCAAAATGTTAATTATCCTAGAAACATCTTTAGCCACCCTGTTGTCTGCCCACCCTTCCTCCTTGTTTCTCCCAAGTATAACAATTCCACTACATGGCCCTGAACTGAGCCTTACAGAACCTCTCAGAGCAGCGCTCCAGGATGGGGAATGAAGGGGTGGGGGAGACTTGTCTCCTTTGTGTAACTTCCTACCTCTGACAACCCTGATCAATCATTTCACTTCCCCTGCCTCAACAGTTCCCCATTGCTATCAGGCTGCAATCCAAGACTGTGTGATCTGGTTACTCCTCTTCTTGCATTGATGTGTCCAGAGTTGTCCATTTTGTCTTTCTGGTTCTGAGTGTTTTCTTTTTTCTCCCAGAACAGGGGAATCAAACCCAGGGCCTTGCAAATGCTAGACAAGTACTATACCATTAAGCTATATCCCCAGCCTTTTTTTTTTCTGTTTTATTTTGAGACAAGGTCTCATTAAATTGCCTAGGCTGGACTTGAACTTATGGTCCTCCTGCCTCAGCCTTCTGAGTGGCTGGGAGTACAGGTATGCACCACCATGCCTGGCCAGTTCTGAGTATTTTCATTTGCTGATCCCTAAAAAGTACTCTTCCTTACACTCTTTCCCTTCTGGACTGAATTTTGTTGTCACTTTGTCAAAGATGATTTCTTGAACTTCCCCCAGTACCCTCAGGTCTGAGTCAGGAGATCCTCCCTTATGTTCCCTCAGGACTCTCATCCTTCTCAGCATGGTCATACTCTACCACACTTTCCCTTACTCGTCTCTCTCCCTCCTATTATATTGAGAGTTCCCTGACAGCAAAGACACATTACCTGCCAAATCCCCAGTATACTATAGCAATTAGGGATCATCTATTAAAAGATGCATCCTGGGCACCCAGGGGTACTTTCTCAAGCTCACTGCCTCTCTATCTCTCTGTGTCAAAGCAGAATGATAAGTTTGACACACAGAGAGAGGGGGCAAGTATGAGCTAATGGTAATAAGGAGAAACAAGGAAGCAGTTTTTATTCTCTTGCCCCTTGGGCCTGTGACCTCACACTCGGGAGTTCTTGCCTAATGGAAGGCATAGGCTTCTGGGGATGTATTCATTGTCTATAGTGTTGCCTCCCATATGTCCCATGGGATCCCGGAGAGCTGACAGCATGACGGAGTCAGTTTCCTGGGAGGAAATATCCCTTCCTGTGTGAGGCTACAGCAATGAGCACATGATGAAGATGTATAGTTTTCTTAAGATTCTAGAAACAAATTCTTGGTAAAGATGGGAGGAAATGAGACAAAGAACTGGGTAAACTTCTGCTAGGAGTTGAATAAGCCAGTTCCAAGAATTCCCTGAATCAAAAGGAAGTTACACTCTCTGAAGTTGAATTCAGCATCTTCTGGTCGGTAAAGGGTACAAAGTTGTGTCTATCCTTACCCCATAACCTTTTCCTTCTTGTTACAAACTATGGTGTGTGGTTCCTTGCTGGTATGAGAAGTGGGTTTGTTGCAATGCTGAGGTGGTGTGGAAGCTACAATAGTCAACATGTTTTCAGGATGAAATACATTATTTTGTCATGAAAAAAACTATTGAGCTGCTAAAAATGGATTAAGCACATTTTCATAAATCTTTCATTGCAGGAAAGATTCCATCACATTTTAGTCCTATGCAGGAAAAATTGCATTTGCACCCTGCTGACATGCAGTCTTCCTGAACCCTCCATCTGAGGGGCAGCATGTCCATATTGGGATGGGTATTGTTTATAAATTTGGTGACTTCTAGGGCTATATTTTGAGGGTCAAAACTGGATAATCATTTAGTATAGCTTCCTAAATCCAACTACAATTACTCACATGGTGTGCCACCCCTCCCCCTCCATTTCTTATCTCATTGAAGTAGAAAGTGGCCTGTGGGGTTCTCAGAAGTCAGACTGTATTCCAAATCCAAGGACCCTCCCAGAGCATTTTAGAAGCATTGGGGTAGGAAATTAGAGGGGGTTTGAAATAAAAGACAGATGCCTTTTTAAAAATCTGCTGACGATGACTGGGGCATTTCAGTTGGATCTCTAAGGAACAAGTCTACATCTTTTTGCTGTGTGTGAATTTTTCTTTTCAGGGTCATTTTCAACTTCCAAGGATGTGACAGTATACTCCTAAGTGGGAGCTTTTCTACCAATGCTTAGAAACATTGGTGACAGAGGCTGGAAATAACTTAGCCCTCCAGACTTCAGGAGACAGTCCAAGTGTGTTTGTGGGCAGTAGTGGCTGTGGGGGTTTCAGTTCTAGACTCAACTGGAGCAAGGTTGAACCAAATTGAAGGTATGTTAGACATGTTCAATTTTCTCTTGACTTTTGGAGAATGGTACAAGTCTGACACTTCAAAGATTTAACCTCCTTTTAATGAAAAAAATATTTTTTTTGATACCAGAGATTGAACCCAGGGTCACTTAACCACTGAGCCACATCTCCAGCCTTATTAAAATATTTTATTTAGAGACAGGGTCTCACTGAGTTACTTAGGGCCTTGCTAAGTTGCTGAGGTTGGCTTTGAACTCATGATCCTCCTGCCTCAGCCTCCTGAGCTGCTGGGGTTACAGGTTGCACCACTGTGCCCAGCTCAATGAAATATTTAAGTTTTTTTTTTGTTTTTTTTTTTGTGTGTGTGTGTGTGTGTAATGCTGGGGATTGAACCCAGGGCCTTGTACTGACTGAGCTATATCCCCAGCCCCTTAAGTATGGGTTTTGTAGACAAAACCTGGGGTGTCTGAATTTGGAGGAGTCTGCTGGAGAGGTTAACTAAGTTCCTTCCCATCTTCAAAGACACATCAGGTATCAGCACCAGCATGGCACCAAGTAATCGAATGGCCCTGCCTTTGTGCTGACTTCTCTGTTCAGCATCCAGGACACAACAGAGTGGTAAAGCTCCTGCTAGGGAAGACATATTGACAAACATCCCAGTATGCATCATTTCTCTGTTGATGGACCCTCAGAATCATCACTCATCCAATTAGCCACTTGAGAGCAATTCACTACCCATGCAGAAGAGTTTCATTAAGGTTTCCATAGCACTTACATTGACTCTCCTTGTCTCTTGGCTCTCATAACTCTGCAACCTTCTTGTTAGGGGATGATAGGACCATGTCACACCTCTCCTCAAAGGTAAATTGGGTTATACTTGTGATCATGCACATGAATATCTTATTTCACTCATTTGGGGGATTGTTCTAATCCATGCTGTGTAAGATGT